TAGGGTCAAATATTTATGATTCGTGCATGACTTGTTAATGACTTGTTAAAAGAACTTAACGGGTCACGGATTAATAATGGATTAACCCACTGAGTTAACGGGTTTGACCCATTTATCCATATGAAAATTTAAAATTTTTTAATTTATTATTTATTTATTTTGTTTTCCAATTCTCAATCCCACCTAAACCTCTAATAATTGACTAATTCTCCCTAATTAGCTAATTGATTCTCTTAGCTCATCATCTTTGACAAGCAAGAATAATCCCACTCTACTCGTGACTCATCTCCTGACTTTTCCTATTCTTACTTGCTCTAATACTCTCTAAGACTCTAACTTTTCAAAGTTCAAACTCTTTTCATATTCTTCAACCTCCATAGTTCATACAACTTTTGACTTTCAAAGTTCGACTCCACTTTTTCTCCTTAGTCTTTAACATCATCTCAAACTCAGATTTCAGTCTCACCGAGTCATCATTCCATCGATTTAGCCTTTTCTTTCTTTCTCCTTCAAGTCTGACAAGTGCTCTCTTTGTCACCAACTTTTCTCTTTAAAGCCTTCAAAAATGTTTACTTGTTTACCCTTTTTAGTTTTCTTTCCATTCCAAGTAAAAATTCTACTTGATCTTCTCCTTTGCTTAGTTAGATGCATTCAATTGATTGATTCTTTGAAAGAAATGACCAGAACAAATATGTTTTAATGGGCTTTGTGCTTTTTGGTTGTCATGGTACTACTGCTTTTCTTTTTATTTTTTATTTTTTTGCTATCAAGATTTATAAGTGTATGGTGTTCTCAAATTTAATGAGTGTTGTTCTTTGAAGGGAAGTGGAGAAGGTGATTCTAAGGAATTGTAAATATGTTTTATTAAATTAATGAAAAAAAAAACTTTTTATAAGATATTGAATTTCATTTTTAAATCTTTTGAATAATTTTCTTTAGATGGTAATAGGTACAAATTATAGAGAAAAAAAGGGAAAAAAAATTTAATTAGATCAACCTGCGAGTTGATCCATCACCAGTGATGGACGGATTGGGGTCAGCTTTCGTTGACTCGTGACTCGTTTTAACCCAATATGTTTTGACCTATGACTCTTTTTGACCCAACCCTAGTGGAACTTGATTTGCCTGTTTGCCGAGTGTATTATAGTCCTAGTTGCTTAGGAAAGGCAAGCTCTAGACCAACTTCATGCACGAGATCAATCATTCCAGGGAAAATAATGGCAAACTACCGAGGAAAA